CGAAAGGGTAGCTACAAGAGGAAACACACTACTTGAGTTTCACTGTTACCAAGACAGTATCTCCGGTCTTACGGTTCTCGAACTGCAGTCGCCTCACATGCAAATCAAACGCTTCAACGAAGCTCTCTGGACGCATTTGAACTACCCGATTTGAAAAGTTGTTGTGCTTAGGTGTGCTCCACTGAATGAGATGGAAACGTCAAGGGTGGGATGTGTGTTATCTCAGGCGTGTGTTGGTACAATCGTTCAGCTGTAGCACCCTTCCGGTGCCTAGCTGCTATGCTAAAGGGTGGCGAAAGGGTAGCTACAACTACCCTCCCCCTAGAAAGAAGGATGTGTGTTGTGGTTAGGGTCGTCCAGGTACAAAGCGATCAGGCCAGTGAACATGACGGCCGGAGCGTGTGGTTCTGCATTGCTCATTTTGAGACGTGGCATGAGTTGGCTTCGGAGAAACTTCGGTCGCGTTGCTTTTGGGCTTGACATCGCCGGTGTTGTTCCCAGGACGTCCTGAATCAACACAATCAGCATAAGCTGGTTTCAAACGATCGATGCTAACAGTATCAGACTTATTGTTAAATTGTATGGTGAACTACTTGGGATGACGAGAGGTCACAAGATAAGGACCGTCATAAGGGGATTGCAAAGGTTTTTTAACACGATCAGAACGTATAAAAACATGCGAACAGGTGGACAAGTCTGTTGGAACATATGATGAACTATTCGGAATGCGAGATGACTGATATCGGAGTTTCGACGTATTTTCTCGCAATTGATTCACATAGGAGGATGAATTGGTCGGAGTTTCTAAAGTGGGTGAAAAGTATTCTCCGGGAATGCGTAAAGTTGTTCCAAAACTAACTCTGCTGGTGAACAATGCAATGAGGAACGAAACATGGTGCGTAGGTGTAGGGAGGAAGCGTTCAGCTGTAGCACCCTTTCGGTGCCTAGCTGCTGTGCCACCCGAAAGAAGCACGAGGGCTGGGATACTGCCTGGTCGCCCAAGTCTAGGCAGGGGAAGTCAAGTGGCGGATGTCGGGTTCGAACCACGGGCCTTCCGGTCGGTCAATTCGCGTTCTAACCACTTGCTGGTACAACTTATTTCTGTCTATTATTAAGTAATACACTTTATATGAATAGTCCATATTCATCTCTGTCAAACTTGGATGGGTCACGGAGCTGTAATGTGCTGTTCCTCTCTGATAGCCTACATTGTTCTGCCTGTAGATGAAGAAGCGTTGCGTTTTTACTGAGGAACAAAGCGATGTTGCCATATTAACTAGTTGCTTCATTCAGGTACATTTTCACTTCGTTGTGGCCCTATGCGTCCACTGCGCATCCGCCGTAGGTTGTTTCATCATATCATGTGAGTGTGTGGTTATTTGTCCACATTGGTTCTGGACATGGTAGCCCAACATCCGAACCAGCTTTGACCTTTCCTGTTGCTTTCATATTCCACAAGGCAAGCAATAACGAAGCTGTTGGTGAAAAGGATCTCACGTATCCGCCGATATCCGGTGCCGAACAAAATGGATCTTTACCGATGGAAACGGAGAAACAGGAATCCACGAATGTCATGCAGCCGGTGGGACTTCGCAGTAGGGAACATGGAACGCCTAACACGAAGCCTTCTGTTGACAGTGCTGGAAATCTTACCCTAGCAGTTAATGGTGTTGTGAGTATTTACATTATTTCATTTAGTTTGCTCAATCAATTCAAGTCTTCATGATAGGCTTGCTTAAGCGAGAACTCTCTCCTCCGTCACTAGAGAATCATTAAAATGTTGACAAGAGGCATAATTAAGCTGGCTCGGACGTTCTCCTCATAATACGGTAATTTTAGCTGGACTTGAGACCTTCAGTTCTCTTATGTGGGCTAGAGCGGGGGAAGGCTAGTCTTGTAAGCTGAGTCGGTCAAATTTACACAAGTGGGAACACCAACAAGGAAGTGTGGGTGACAAACCTTTCCAGGAGATGATTCACTGGGTTAGAAGAGAACTACAAGGACGCCGCAGATCTCGACCACTTGGGGAGTCTGGAAGCATTACTGAAATCCCGAAAACTTAGTGAGAACGTCCAACAACAGCTGCATCAAACGGTCGTGTCAGCCATCATGCACAACGGAACTTGACACTTTCCCAGTCCGGAAAAGGAAAGCACTATCTTTCTGCCAGCCGACAAGGGCTGTATGATAGTCATCTCGAACAATACACACGAAGTAGGCAAGAACGGATCACTATTCAACGTGAACGACGAACAAAGGCCTTCAAAAAGTCGCCGGCTAAGAATGTCTGAGAATGCGAGTGCATTTCTAGTCTTCCTAAAGTACACAAGGAAAACAAAACAGTAAACCAGATTCCATCGCTCTCCGAAAGTGCAGTCTCGATCACCTCAAAAGCATTATTGAGCAAGTTTAGATACCTCCTGTCTTCAGTAACAGCAAATTTTGGAAACTGTAAGATGCAAGAATCGAAAGTGACGAATTGATATCACTTGACTTGCACTGGCTGTTTGCATCGAACAAACGTCCTTGGTCCTGTTAAGGTAGCCGTCGCCGAAATACTGGCTAGCCGTGGAGCACCAAAGAGAGCACCTGTGAAGGGACCACTACAACTGTGTTCGATCACATGCTGTGATTTCGACGGAGAGTATTTTAGCAACTGAAAGGCGCACCCATAGGGACACCAATTTCAGAGTTCATCACAGAAGTCCAAACACATAAACTGGAACGGGCCATATTTACGGAAAGCAGCTCCTAAATATGGGTATGCTACGCTAACGAGACGTTCATCATCATCAAGATGAGTGTGTTGCAATAAACCAACTTACTGTTTGACAGCGTCTTCGTTAACATTTTATGCCACAATGGAAGCAGAAGAAAACAGAAAAACATAAACTACCACGAGTACAGCAAAGTCCACTGCAATAGTGTCGGAGGAAAGCAACTTCACGTAGTTTTCAGAGTAATGGCTACCTTGGAAATTTTATTTGGAAATCTCTCAGGGCTGGACTGCTTTGACTGCACAGCCAGAAATCTGAAGCGCTGCTTCTGCCGATCGTGGACTAGTCGGATGACGCGGAAAAACAGTGGCACACAAACCTACCGGTACAGTACGGGGACACTGTCAAGGCCATACGGGGAGAGCGCTATGTATAAGATTGAATTCAACGACTGCGAGATTAATCACGTGGAGATTATCTGGCAAAATACATGAACACCAGCTTGCAAGACACGATCGATCATCGCCGGTTTACATGCATTAAGAACGAGGGGAAAACATTTTGACTGGAAAACTTACAGACAATAACTCAAGCAAGAACAAGGAGTCAACCAGAGTTTATAAAGGATTGATACTCTAGTGAAAAAAGTTCAGAAGCAAATTGATATTGCTTCAGCCTATCCACCAATACTCCATAACATCTACAGACGAAACCGTATAGCAACTCAAGCAAGAAAAAAGAGGTCAAAAATTGGCAAATGGATCAAAACGGTTATTAAAAAAGGCTGTGAGGAATCGGGACGTTACATGAATATAACAAATGGTCCTATGTGAATACGCGAGTCCGTAGCAAGACAACCGATCGGAGCGAACGATTCTCGTCCCACAATGCACTAGATACGTGAAATGGACCAATAAGAACGCACAATATAGCGGGCGTAACGACCAGTCAGTTCACTGTGTTCCAAAACCCCAGTGAATCACAAATATCAGAGGAGTCATTTAGAATGGGGAGTTTGAAACGATTGCAACCGTCATACCAACAAGCTAGAAGGAATTCAGACCAAATGCAAATGGGTCATCGTTAATCATTCGCATTAGAGGTATGAACTGCTCTTAGCTGTACTATATAAAGGAGGAAGCAACCATCCAACGGCGAACTGACGATTTATCTTTGAATGGTGACAAAGCGCTTGCAAATCACATGCCATGCTCGACAAACAAGTCAACAACTAACAGTCAGGTACTTCTGAGGTAAAGATGTGTACGTTGTGGTTTATTCCAGCGTATCCTTCACAGGGATCGCTGTCACTAATGCACTGATTAAAGTGGTTTCAAGTCGGTCGAATTCTCAACTCTGTTGGCACGCTGAATTTGTGTATAACACTCACTAAGAGGCATATGAGCGCGATGAGCGGCTTGTGTGGTAATGGATACACTGAAACAGAATTTCCCTGGGACTAATGTGAACATTCGTGATTTGCGCGAGTGTCGACCTACCGCCCACCACATGAATACAGCCGCAAGGGCTGCAGCCATTATGAGCTACGGCATTTGTGTTAGAGCTACAGACACCAAATAGAATAAAGGATTCACAGCTATTGAGTGTCCATACCGTTTTGGTTACTTTGTGTATCACTTCATCTGAGTAATTACTGTATGCACACGTTAGTCTTTCAGATTAGACCACTTTACCACCCCGTTTATGGTCAGAAAACTCCAGATCTTTACGGCTCTGTCCGTCTAATTTTATGGTATGATGCGGCCCGAGTGGGGGTGCTGTCCCACTAATATATGTGGCTGACACCAAATGTTTGCACGCAGCAGTGGCCACTTCCTTGTGCATGTGAGTAGCCAAAAGTCACCGAATAATATACCCTTGATTGGACTCGACGGCAAGATGTTTGTGCTGATCCGGTTTATGCATCAAATAAGACTAGGCCCCAGATTTGACCTTGGGATAGCTCACTGAGCCTGAGATCTCTCAGCTGCCAAGTTACGAATCTACAAACTGGAAGGCCGTCGTTCGAAACCACCCTTGGTTTTTCAGTTGTTCCTTTCGGCTTGCGTAATCTGGTAGGATCTCAATCCTCCTGTTTTTCTGAGTAGAAAAGAAGAAATAGGAAATGACACTCCAGTCATCTAGGCGTCGATTTTCACGACCGGTTTGGCAATCACTGTATAACCTTGTCAAGAGCCTGGAATACTTGTACAAATGCATTGCAAAGTCCCACTCCTTCGGTTTTCAGGTTGGTTTTCAAATGAATTGCATACACTGAGAACATTGGAATATTCCTCTGCTGCCAGTCGAGTTCGTCGAGATAATCTGGAATGTGAAGGTTCATTTACTTCTCTCAGCTTATTAATACGTACTACTAGGAACAACAGAGTTCTCCTTGATGTCCTTACCCTGTAGTACTTAGGAGCAAATTCTACACTCGTGCATTGGTGATGGTGCGTTGGAGTCGTATTAATATCGTTTCTCCTTGCAGAAAAAAGCTTTAAATTGTCACGAACAGACAAAAATTCGACCAACTGAAGATGACTGAAGATTTCACCACACGCACATCGTCCCTCCGCTTTGATGCATACTTTCCTAGACAGTGTGCTAATTTTATGGCATTTTTACTATCATCAAAGTGAATCGATCTGTGTCTATTTTATTGTCTCCTCAAGTCACTGCTATTGGAACGCGCCACAGACATAGGCGTACTGTTCCTCACGGGCTCTCACTTCTCTAATTTTGCACTTTCGTTTCCATTTGTACTCGATTCAGACATCACACATGGAGAATGAGCTCTGCGGTCGACCGCCAGATCGCCCGTTGGATAACGCACGTTGTGCGGATCATCTTAGTGGTAAGAGGTTATTTCACTTTATAACGCTTGCTCATTTACTATTGCTTCTATGGTGTCACCCTCTCACTGGTGTCTGCCGATGTCATTGTCCACTTTTGTGCGCTCCTGAGATTCGCAATGGGCAGTCAGTTCGTCCAGTAACTGTATTACGGAGGCATATTAATCCGCACTTGTCAAGCCATTTGGAAGAGACACGAAGCATGGGTTCCTTCACAAAATGATTTTAGAACAGATCTGCTCAAATAACCATCAGGTTTCCCACTTCCAGCATGTGCGTTATGGCCTTCCCCTCTTCAAGTTATTGTACATTATTAATTTTATTCGGGGAATTAAAGAAGTACATGAAAACAACTGGCTCGTTGACGGAACATTCACTACGAAAGGCAAACTCGCGAGTGGTCATTTTGTGAATCGACCATGTTTCTGTTTTCGCAGTCAAAAGTCGGGCTTCTGCTACATTATCCTCTCAGAACGACCATCTCCATTTAATTTAAGGACTTAATCCTCCATTGAGAGCAGATGTTACGATGAACGACTGCGTTCTCTTCATAGTAATGGCGTGTTCAAGCAAGGTAGAGCTGAACCACACGAAACCCTCCGCTCTTCTCCGGACTCATCGTGTTGGTGTAGATATTCGTTTTCTGGGGTCACGCGTCTGCCGATCAACAATTGACGTGACGGGCCCCTTTTCTGGCACCTAGCGAATCCGGGTAAAAGCGTATGACATCGTGTGACTGCGTCTTTGCTGCATACCACCGGTAGAACCACGCGTCCACTGTCGTGTAATTATCATGTCTTCCGCAAGGGTTCATTACTATTCGGACGAAACATCATTTCTTTCCTCGGTGAAACGAATCTTCAATCAAGTCAGTATCTGGTCAATACGGTAGGTGTGCCATAAAGACTGTTCTTGCGATATTTCAGGTGTTTATGACTATTATACATATATATTCTACATGTTTACAGTTATATATTTTCCTCAAAGATGTCAACCACTCTATTGTTAAATAGCGGTATATCAGCTTATTTGATCCTAATCACAATACTGTAATTTCTTAGCTGTGGTTTACCGGGATATAATAATGTAGGTTCTCTTCGGTCAAATATTGCTTTGCGGTGTTGACGGTACATCATCTTTGGAATCGTGAAACACTTCCAACAAATTGTAATCAGATAAAGATCCAGTAGAGTGTGAGCCAGGGCGCAAAATCTCCTCAGTTCCATACCAATTACGAACGTGACAGGTGCCCCTAAAGTGCATAATCGAGTCTTACTACGGGAATAACAGGATTTGATAATATCTACAATTTGTTCAAGACATCTAAGTTTTTGAAGAACGATCCACAACTCGTTTTCAGTGTCTCATGAAGTTTTCTTTTTCCTACGAGTGCTGCACACAATAGTTGACACCTTCAAAATCAGACGTATTAGTTGCTAGTCGTTGGCTCTCTTCCCCTGTAAATAATGGTGGCTAGAATCCACTTTACCACGAAAAGTTTTCGCCCTGCATTATTGCTGTAGGCAGTCTGAACAGTTTGGGATGATATACGTCTTTTCCATCTAACGTTTCAGTTATTACCTTTCGAAGTTCAGTCTTTTAAATGCCCCAATTCTTCATGGACGCGAGGATCTGGGTTGTATAATTCTAACCTTTTTTTTGATGGCCTGTTAAACAGTTTTAGAAATGTGACTCTTGATATCTTCGGCGTACTGGACACACTGCCTCTTCGGTCCACAGATATCTTTCAGAGCATCGCAGAACTTGTTACATCGGTGATCAGTATACGTCCACTGCTTTTTTTTCAACCCACCGTTCATTCTTCGATTTGTGGCTCTGGCACTGCAAAGCCTATTCTAAGCTAATGTATTTGGCAGGTGCTGGAGTGACTTTATATGAGTTGGATTCATCTCATCGACCAGGGGGAATACAGATGAGTGGTTTCGATAGAGGTGATCGTTTCATGTTTCTGTTCTGATTACGGTGGTCCTCATTTGAGCCACTCTGACGCTCCTTCATCCCATTGCGTTTTTTTAATATTTGTGAGTCATTGTATCCGAAAACCTGTGAGCGGCGGCGTCTGAAAATTTTCGCATTAACAGTTGATTTTCAGTTAGCTGATACTGAGTCTGGTTGGAAATACCCTCGTCCAACGACGGAATACATCCAGCAGCGTTGAATCACACAAAGACCACTCGTGTGCGTGCTTTGGTTCACCTTACTGATATAGGTAGTCCATTGATCCGATTATTGGGCTGCACATTTGCCTTCCTCTGCCAATTCCGCACTAACGCAGTCTCAAGGGACAGCGATTAGAGCCAGAAATGTTTTCGGTCTTTTAGGTTAATTTCTACCGCAGCTGGTTAGGCCAGCTTCCGCCCAAATCCACCTATGTCCCATGGGGTATCAGGTGGATAACGTCCATTGTAAATTTTCATGAAATGTTGTTTCTTGGAAGGTGATTGCTACCAAGCATAACTATACTCTGAGGATACTGATATTAGTTGCTAGTGACTCCCAAATCTCTTTATGCGCTCCGCTGTGGTATGCAGTATTTCCTTTTTCTTGAAGGGCTCAAATTATCGCTTCCTCATAACGGTCTCTCAGGGGTAGTGATTGCAGGGAGGTGCTTAGTCCTAAGGATGAAATTTGATCATGCACTTATCTTAATTAGGACTCATCAAGTGGATGTATCACGTCGCCACGAAGTTTGCACTGATGGACATTAACAACAGCTTTACCTACCCCATAGGAGCCAAATTGGTGAAGGATACTGCCTGCCTGTTCCCCTTCATATTGTTTTCTCATTGGAATCCCATAGTGGGGCGGATCACAGTGTTACAACTCAACTAATAAAAACCAACTATTTCACTCTTCTGGTGTGGCCGAATTATCCAACAGTCACATCCTGTTTGACCTACTAATCCAATGCACTGTGGTCTCACTTAGTCAATCAACAGTGTTTGTCGCTCTAACATTCACCATTTCCGATGGGTGCGGCATTCCTTTTTGTGTTTCAGGTGATGTCTTCGTTCGCGTTAATTCTGCTAGTTTAATTCCCGGTGGGGCCCACCACAAAAATCAGCAGGACGGTGCTGTACATTTCTGCTGGCCATCATCTGTTTACATTCCTCCCACAGAGCTTACCAGTTCGGAGCGATCGACGGCCACCGAACTCCCGACTCAGAATGCAGTTGCCGATGCATCCGAATTAACACGGCGGCAAAGACCAGAAGCTTCTTACGATATGGTAGATGTTGATAATCGAAACGGGCAAATTTCAAAGTGGAAGCAAGTGAGTGTTACGCTGGACACGTTTCCATCCCAACCTTAAGCATGTACGTTTCGTATGAAGTTCAGGTCTAGCTTTTCGATCTTGAAAAGTCGTGGGCAACTGGAATGGCTTGATTTCAGGGATTTATGGGTTGGGAATGAAGGCATGCCACAGAAGCTCCCCTACGCAACATTTGAAATGGTGGATTGCTGTTGGACTGCTGGGAAATGGAACTGCTCGGGAAGTTTGACGGTTGTATACCGTCGGGTTTAGTGGCTACAATGGTCCTACCGATTTTTGACGTCAAGTTGTTCGGAAGTTCTGATGGAATAGCCATTAGGCTAGCTACGCTATGAATACATCAGCCTTGATGGAAGGCCTCTACTGATTAATAGGTCGTCTTTCCTCATCCTGGGTTCCCTGTTTATGCGCATATTAGTTGCGAAAGCTTCTGACGTTGCTAGCCAGAAATTTCCATTCGGTTCCATTCTTCATGCGACTTGAGCACTTCATGCGGTCCTTGGACATTCGAAGTATATGGTGAAACCAGGGTAACCTGTGAACGGCTGTATACTCTTCCTGCCCCGAAGTTTCTTTGGCGTTTATAGCACAGAACCGAGTGACGTCGTTTTGGTCGTGTCCTTTCAATGCTATCAACTTTTGGCTTCTTTGCCTGAGCAACAGGCAACCGAAGCAACTCAAGAAGATCGGGACAACGGGAAAAAAACTTCCTTACCCATAGGTAGCCACTCGTCAAGAGCATTGTTAACTTGCACTGTGGCCCCACAATATCCCTGATGACACGATTTAGTCAAGCTTTCGAGGACTTTAAGATAGGATATCCAGCAAGTTTGCGTATTCGACAGTCTTCTGTTTGTGCCAGTTGACGACAGTTGGCGACAACTGTAAACCATTCCTCCACTAGATTCTACTTACAACAAGAGCGTGAAAGAACTGGGATGAATTCCAGTTGTATGGGTCCATTATTATTGGTCCAACGATCTATCTATCCAATCCCTGTATTATGAGTAGTCATCGACATTGTCACGGCACAATAAATGCCAAAATGGTCTAATTTACCATGGTAGACCGCACCTGCAAATTTGAACGTAGAACTTGTTATATTCCTTCACCGTAAGATCATTGGAGGGAAAACATTTTCGTCATAATCTTGGGCGCAGGCGACGAAGTGTCCAGTAGATCCAGATCAGCAAAGTAGCTCGTACACACTTTTCTGCCTCTCTAGGGTAAATCGGTAGAAGGGAACATGGGAGATCTGTGGATGTCCCTCATCGGCTCTCATCTATGTTTTGTTAATTACTTCGACCGTTTCATCCAATCTAATTTCTATATTTTACGACCGCTTTCCAATTACTGGCTTGGATCGCTGGTTATTTCGTCCGTATGCTCAAGTCGTAATTCGTTATCATCTCTGGTATCTGTAGGCTGTGTAGAACAAACCGCCAAATCCATCTCCTTAAATGTTCTGCGTCACATTCTGTGTTCGGGGTTTCGACCAACGTAGCACCGTCTGTCAAACTGGTGTCTTAGAGTGAGTGGGCTGTGTATGTATGCGAATACGGTTTCTTCTGGGCCACGGATCGTTGAGCTATTTCTCCGGTTTGGTGAGGTTGGCACATCACATACTGGCTAACATTGCTCCAAAAGAACATGCCGAACCTGGAAATCACGGGCGCTCATCTTGCGCTAGCCCACTCCTCGTAGTTTGCAACCTCCGGTGGAAGCTTTTTTCATCATTTGAGCTGCTCCGTTGACTTCAGATTTGGCCTGAATAAAAGTGTTAATTTTATGGTAGCTCGGGTAATGTAACGACAGACTGTTTTGCATAACAACCTGTGGAGTGTCGTACGTTCGATCAATTCATCCTTTCTGAACGGTCTGTCTGAGTGAGAAGTGAGCCTAATTTATCGCGTATACTTAATTTTTTAGTGGAAGTTCATTTATCGGTAAGCTGAAACCCAGCCAAGCTGGACACATAGGATAACTCATAAATGCCTGGAAGATGTACTGGAGCTATTCTGGTTAGTAGAGCAAAAATTCAAACAAAATGCTTGAAGGTTTTGATGGTTATTATATGCGTTTATTGAAATAAATATTGTGAGACGCTTTTCTGATACATGGTAACTTGCAACAGTGCTTTTCGCTCGAGCTCGTGGTTTGGTTTGATAAATCTGAAACATGTTTAGTTACCTCCTTCATCTTGTTCTTAGAATGCAACTTTTGCTGAATCTAATCTGGCCAAAACATATCTGGACACTGCAGAGGAACAACCGACACATCCGCATAGAGACAAACCCCATGGGCATCATCATGGCCACAGTCATGATTTGAGCTCGGTGCGGGCGATCGCGTACACGGTAATAGTAGGAGACGGGTTGCACAATTTCTGCGATGGAATCGCCATTGGGGCCGCTTTTTCGACCAATGTAAATGGAGGTCTGTCGACAGCGATAGCCGTTCTTTGCCATGAGCTGCCTCACGAGTTGGGTGAGTTTGTTGGAATCTTCCAATCATCCCGTTCGTTTTTCAGTGGATTGACTAGGCGCTTAGATTTAGTCGTTTTTCAGCTTGTGATGACAAGACGCGCCTGACTTGTCGATTCAAATCCATCCACAGCTCACCAACACACTGTTTTGAGGAATTCATTGATCTTTGAAGTTACGAAGTAGAACATTTGCCGCAGGAAACATAACCATTGATGTGCGGACTGTCTTGTTTTTTTCGTGATATTCGTTTGCGTGCCTGTGGCCGTAGGTATTGTGCCTCGTCTGTGCTAGCCAGCTTGCTGTCCGACCGATATATCTGTCAGTACAGAAGCAGACAGATTGATAAACACACACCAGCACCTTCATGGAACCTGCACCATTGATTTTTTACTTGATTGTAGACCTATATGGACCAAGACATGAACTAGCCAAGAACACCTGTATATTGTGGTTAGCCCCTTTGAATATCTTGAAAATTAGCCGTCTTGCTGCACAACCAATTACCCGTTTTCTAATTAAAATTAAATTTTAAATCGTTCAGCTGTAACACCCTTCCAGTGCCAAGATGCCATGCTATCCAAATAAAGCACCAGGACTGTGATGCTGTTGGGTTACCCAAGCCTAGACAGGGGAAGTCGAGAGACAGAGGTCGGGTTCGAACCACATACCTTCCGGTCAAAATTCGTGCTCTAACCACTGAGCCATCTGGCCCCGTTTTCTAATTGCTTCGTCATGCATCCGCTGGCGCCACTCGTCACCAACAACGCTTTTGACGCATCCGTCGTTAAAAACCTGGAGGCTCCACTTGCTGATGAGAGGTTGTTGTGTTCGATCCATTGGTAGTGCCGTTATGGCAAAAGACGATCAGTTCTACAGTTCTGTCCAACTAGGCTATGTTGATTGTGATATCTTCATTACTGTCTTCAAGTTATGCAGCGGAACGCCCACTGCAGAGAACCCGACTTTCCCAGAATCCTCAGTACACATGAAATCCATGGTTTCGAAAGTTTTCTCACATTAGCTCATTGCGGTGATCCCTCGTTGTAAGAAGCCTTCAAGCAAAGAGTGCTCCCATGGAAGAAGCGTGATGCTCCTCAGCTATCATCCTTAGTGGCAGTAACCAAGCAAGAAACACTTTATCACCTCTTTACACTTACGGAATAAACCGTTCGTTACGAATGGTGCGATGTCTTTGGTCTGTTTTATTCAGAAAGTTACCCATACACATTCAAACACCTTTTTTGGAAAACACGTTCTTCCTGTCCCATGAAAGACTCTTGAGTTTGTCAGTTCCTCCTTACCATCGCAGAGCTCTACTTACTGAGGTCGAGTGAGCGAGTATCTGTCTCCTTCGTAATGGGTACCAAGGTGAACTTGTAACTTACAGGTCATGCCAGTGGAGCTCTGGACAATAAGGAACAGGTGGTGAATGAAATCTCGCAAGAACCAGCCGGAAAATTAGTTCGGATTCACCACAGTAATACACAAGAGCCAAAATTCGATATGTATGTCTTGTGGGTCGCCAACAAGTCCAATCAGTTCTCAACTTTCTTCCGCGCCTGTTTATTCTGGAATACTCGTGCTTTCAGCACTTAACAGTGGGAGACCAATCACTGTTTGGTTGTTGTAAAATTCCTAAGACAACATTGCATTTTGAGAGGGAATGGAACACTTTTGAAGTCAGTCCAAACTAGATTTGAATATGACCATGGTTTCACATTTGCGACCGGACAAATTTCCTTGCCATGTATAGGTTGATTACGCCTGTATCCTTGTAGGTGCGAATGATAGTCGCTTTGCCAATCACTATAAGAAAATATTGCACTCGTATTGTTGAAACACCACGAGTTCATGATCATTGCCCATGTCTAGGGTAGCTCAAGGGAAATGCGGTTGCTTAATAGCGTTTCCCAGTTTCAGATTTAACATAATGTTTTTGGGGTAGGATTTTGATGATAATGTTAGAAGACTGGCAATTTTCAATCAAATTTTCTTCGTGTCAATGAAGCCAGTAGATGCTGCAAGTCGGAAATACACTGTATAGTTGTTTTATCTTTATTGGGAATCTTCAGCAGTGCTTACCTCACGAAACTCAGAGACTTTTGAACCCACAACCTCCCAGTCAGAGGTTGAACACTTGGTCGTTCGGTCTTTAGCTGTTGAGCAGCTGTACGCTTAGCTTTCAGTGAGACAGGACACAACACCGCTCATCCCTCAGTCACAGAAGCCACATCACATGGCCGCGTGTTGACTGGTTCCTCAAGCGGTGTCCTCTCAGATCCAAATTTCACCTATCATGTGGAGTTATTCTTCCGTAGAGATTTCCTCCTGTCTGGGGGGGGGGGCTAATGCGCTGCTGTTCAGCCGCTCGAGGCCGAACAGTAAAGTGTTCAATCTCTAGCTGGAAGGTTGTAGGTTCGAAAGTCTGCTGATGATTGTCAATAAGGATTAATCAGCTGTGTACTGCTTCTCCAAATTTTGGCATAGATTGGCTTCACCAATAGGGCAAGGGCTTGATCGAAAATGGAACTTTGTCGTTTACTGAAGCATGTTTGATATCCTTTGAAGGAGGAGGGAATACTTCATAAGTGTAAAGACTGGGAATAAATGTGGTGATTTATGCCAGAAAATGTTTTAGCAACAAAAAACATGAGCTCTTTTGCTTCTCGATGACTGCACACACAAAACACAAAGACTGGGCTCGTTTGAACAATTAAACCAGAATGCAGACTGAGTTCATTCAAATCTCAAAACTTTCATGACAATTCAAGTGTGAAAATATAGGGGGTAGATTCAACTCAGTATGTTTCACATATCGAGTATCGAATATTCCGACTTCTTGGCCTGTGGTAAAGACATGGAGGTCATAGTTATACCTTGGTTTGAGCGTTTCGGCAATGCAAAGCCATAAAATGTCGGAAGGTCCATTTTCAGACGAGCATCTAATAAGCAAAACTTGCAAAATGGAAGTGGTTTCTGTGATCTATGTGTGCGCAATATCCCCACGAGCCTAGTGTTTATCACTTAGACAATTCGACGATCAGATTATTTTTCCATCCATTAGTTGGGCTCGTAGATTTCCTAGTGAATTCCTTAGTCTTGAGTGAGTGATTACAGTTTTCCTGTTTATTCCGTTCTTAATCCGTCAAAAAAATTAATGCATCCATTTTGTAGGTGATTTTGCAGTCCTATTACATGCGGGTATGTCTGTCAAGGCGGCCATATTCTACAACCTGCTATCAAGCATTCTCTGTGCAGCTGGAACTGTGATTGGACTACTTCTGGGCCGAATAGCCTCGATCGACACTTGGATATTCATGCTGACCGCCGGAATGTTCGTTTATATCGCTTTGGTTGATATGGTGAGTTCAACTTCTGGACATGTTTATTGCTGGGACTGTTCTTTCTCAGAAAACCTCAAGCGACCTCCATTTGGAATGCTCGATCTTCCATTTTCGGTTAATTTCCACAGTCTCTTTAATATATTTCATAGAGTCGGATACTTCAGAATCTTAGTACTGCAAGACTTTGACAGCTCCTAGGTTTTTTAGACCGTGGAACAGATGACGCCCTCGTTACTGTATCCTTTTGCAAGAGGGATTCAAGGTTGATCTTCAGGGAGCATCCGCTTATTGTTCAATACTCTTGAAGACAGACCGACTGAGTGCACTAAAATCCTGTGGTAGCTTCTGGCTGCAATAATGTGCTCACGCAATTACTGTTTCTAAAAGAAGTCTTGTTGGAATGGAAATTCCATCCAAAGCCAACTAGCTTAGCTCCGTATCTTTCTTCCTAGTCACGATTCTGCGTTGCTATTACGGAAAACGGTAATCTTGAGACGCGTGGCACATAATGGAGTCGCGGTAATCTAAGATGCCTTCTTTAACTACTAATTATATCAACTATCGTGTAAACTTGTTTTTTTAGTTTCACTCTTAACGGTACATTGATGAGAGTTTACACAAAACAAGATTATTGAAGACTTGGAAACTCTTTAGATCCATAGCGCGCCGATATTTTGATCACCAAGCACATGGCTGACTATCGCGGAATCCCCAACCAGACATTCTTTGGGCCATATTGTTAGCACGGCACATCTCATGCACGCCCGGTCCTTCATTCGTGCCCCTGGTTAAGAATCATGGATGACTTGAGTTAGTCGGCTGTCCTTTTAGTCTGGTACACCATTCTTCTACGTCTTCAGCGTCTGACTAGGGTCGGCTGCGCCGACGTTTATCGACCGAATTCTGTAACCCTCCTGGCGGTTCGAATTGCTCGATGTGGAGCTGCTAAAGTATTCTAAGGTTGTTCGGTAGCTTATTGAAGTTCCAAGACATCGAATCTATTGTCTTCCATGATTTGGTTGTCGAAAGGTTCCAATACGTGGATGTGTGAGATCAAAACCTTGAAGGTTTGATATGTATCGGAATCGGATACGATCAACGGTTATACTCCACCTGAGAACGAGCGCACGAATCCCCAGCTATGACGAGAGCCCAACCACTCTTAGCGCAGACAGCGAAGACCAGACCTTCAGAAGAGGGCTTTTACTTACTGC